TGCTCATATTACATTGTCGAATGCCATTGGCAGAGGCTCGCTCATCACAGCTCCCGATGACGACAGCAGACCCCTCCCTCACACCACACAGTCATGCTGCCAAGTGGACCCAAGGTTTCATGTGAGAGGCAACGCTTGAACTCGGGAAACAAGATATCTTTGTACACTCAGGTAGGAAAGGATTTCTTAAATAAAAAAACAGAGAAAGCCCATGTACACAACACCCGGCACCACCTACTCACGGGCAGAGGCCATCCCGTGTCTCTGTCCAGGCCCCCAGGACCCAGGGCCCCCAGGGACTCTGCATGTGGGCACATGGAGACACACAGAGGCTGTTTATGACAGCATCATCCAAAACTGCACAAATGCGGGAACCAGCAGTTAGCATAATGGCTATGTCGCTGGACTCCCATGTAGTCGACCGCGGTTCATGTCCCGGACCTGGTGGCTTAAAACTCACGCCGGGCGCGTGTGCGTGCGTGCCCAAGATCCCGAGAGGAGAATGGGGGAGAAGGGATTGCGGCGTGACCATCCCCCCTGGGGGGGGTGATTTCTCGCTTTCTGTCTCTATGTCTCTCTCTGTCTGGCGAGCGCACACGCCCTACAGTGAAAATCTCTCCAAAAAAAAAACTGCACAAATGCAAAGCAAAGAATCCCATCTTGCATGTAGTTATGGGCTGAGCTGTCCCAACCCCAGTACCTTGGTGTGTGATTGTATTTGGAGACGAGAACTTTAAGGGATAGTTGAGGTGAAACGCGGGCCTTGGAGTGGGTCCCGAGCCAACGTGCCTGGTGTGCTTCACGCAGACTGCAGGGCGATCACAGGGCAGGTCAAGTCCAGGAGAGGTTCAGAAACCGACCCTGCCGACACCTTGACCTCAGACGTCCAGGCTCCAGAACTGGGAGGAGGGAAATGGCTGTCATTTGTGCCACTCAGGCTGTGTTGCTCTGTCACGATGCCCCCAATGCACTCTTCCCTTAAAGGCTCCTCAGGTCTGCCTCACGATGGTGGCACCGCTCAGCACTGCACCGAATGGCTGCTTTCGTCTCAGTACTGTAGCCTGACATAAGCAGTGTGACAGGTGTCGCTTGTGACTCCATGCAGCCTTTCCCCTCCTCTGGGGTGATGGTGAGGTACACAGGACTTCAAAGAGCTCACCAAAAAATGCAATGAAAGCATGAGTTTATTTTGATGCCAAAAATTTGAAAACCCTGCAGCTTTTTTTTTTTTTCCAAAAGATGACTCTGGAGGCCAGCAGGTGACGTGGGGTTAAGGTGCTGGACTCCCACATGGCTGATCAGGGTTCAAGTCCTGGACCTGGCGGCTTGTTTTCTCTCTTTCTTTCTCTCTGTCTGTCTCTGTCTCTCTGGTGAGTGCACAAGCCCTATAGCAAAAAAAAAAAATTTAAATAATTAATAAAAATCATTCTTTTTTTTTTTCTTTAAAAGGATGAGTTTTCCGTGATAACTTACTGAAGATGCTCATATGTGCAGCTGGAGCACAGGTCCAAGGGGCGGGAGTAGGCAAGGTTTGCCCTAGTTCATCCTTGCCAGAAGGGTGGTGTGAGCAGGAAAGACATAGTACTGAGTCAGGATGTAGAACTCCTGGGCATGCTTGTTACTGCAGCAGGAACTGGCTGGTACTGACGCCGCAGGGTTAACAGCTTCCCCTGCCTTGCTTCCTGCTGCTGGATGCCTGGGCTCTTCCGGTTTCACTGTTCACAATGCAGGGTTCACCCACTGGCCAGGTACTGTCCATGTATCTTCCCTCGTTCAACCCTCCTAGCCACTCGGGGAGTGACAGACAAGCTCTTCACAGCTCAGAGGGGTCACGTGACACTAAGGAGCTGACCAGTTCAAGTCCACGCTCGGAACGCCAACCCCACGGCACCATGCCACGACCATCATGTTGTTACGTGGTCAGACGGTCAGATTTTCTACTCCCCACCAGTAAAATGAGAAATCAACTCCCCCAAACCTTCAGCCACTCCAGACATCTAAAATCTCCTGAAATCCTAGAATCTCCGGAGGAAAAATAAATAAATAAAAAGTCACCCATATCTCCCAGAGGTACTTCTATGATTTTTGATATGCTGAAATCTTTAACCCATCTGGAATCTACGCTGGCGCGAAGAGTGCGGTAGGTATCTGGTTTTACTGTTTTCCAGATGGCCAACCTGTCGTCCCAACTGCTTTTACTGAATGATCCATTTTACCCCCTTTAATGTGAAATGACACTCCAGCATGCACTGAATTCCCACAGTTAGCTGGCTGGCTCTGTCTCAAAGTTCTCCATCCTCCTCTGCTCATCCGTCCACACCAATATCTGCACACACTTTAATTATTGTAGCTTCATAAGCCGTTCCAGGATCCCCTAGGACTTTATCCTCAGCACTTCCTGTTTCACAATTCTCCTTGGAGAATGGTACTTTAAAAACCATCCCATAGGGCCCACCGTGTCCTGGCTTTGGGAAACAGATTCTCTGGGTATTTCCAAGGGAAGTGAGGGGCAGATGTGAGGAACTGGAAGGCAGGCCCCACACCACAGCCCGCACTGAAGACCTACAAGAGCCCAGAGGACTCTGGCTCCGAGGGCGCCCCCCTCTGGGTGGTCTGCTGTGTGCAGGTGCCAGGAGGGCCGAATGACTGAGGCCCCCTCACTGAGCCTGCACGGTGGAACCTCTCCTGGCCCTGGATGTGCCCTCTGCCCACGGAGCAGGAAAGCAGCTTGGTCACTGTCACGGCTCAAAGGCAGGTGCCACAGCCGCTGGTGACAAAGCCACTTTGAAGGCTAGGCCAGAGCCCCCCATTCTCTCCTCCAGCACCCTGACACACATGCAGGCACAAGGGATGGGCATCCTGGACACTGTCCTGTAAGGCCCTGCCCTCCTTCCCCTTCCTTAGTGGCCAAAGCCCAACCCCAATAAACAGGACCATCCTCTAATTACAAACAGCCCACCGGACCCTTGCAAGAGCTGCTGAGCTCAGCCAAGCAGAGAAGCCATGCAGATGGTCCTTGCAGAGACATGGCGGACCACAATCCAAACAGCTGGCAGCTGCCTGGGTATGAGGAGGCCCAAAGCCCGGAGGGGACAGGTGTCAGAAGGGAACAGAGCAACCCTGAGCAGAAGGGCTTCGGGTCCACGAACCGGAGCCACAGAAGGCAGCTGTGCAGAGACCAGCAGGGTAGTGGCTGGTCTGCCGGGTGACCATGGCGTCTGCCCAGAGAGCAGCTCCAGGCCCTACTGCCAGATCCCCAGGTGGGCCAGACCGCGGTTCGAGTCCCAGACCCAGTGGCTTAAACTCATGCCGGGTGCGTGTGCGTGCGTGCCCAAGATCCCGAGAGGAGAATGGAGGAGAAGGGACTGCAGCGTGGCCATCTCCCCTGGGGGGTGCTTTCTCACTTTCTGTCTCTCTGTTTCTGTCTGGCGAGCGCTCGCGCCCTATAGCAAAAACCTCTCCAAAAAAAGAGACAGCTATGCAACCCAGCTGTGCAACCTGGCACCAATGCCCTGGGGGGCTCTGGTTAGTGGCTGGTCTGCCGGGTGACCATGGCGTCTGCCCAGAGAGCAGCTCCAGGCCCTACTGCCAGATCCCCAGGTGGGCCAGACCGCGGTTCGAGTCCCAGACCCAGTGGCTTAAACTCATGCCGGGTGCGTGTGCGTGCGTGCCCAAGATCCCGAGAGGAGAATGGAGGAGAAGGGACTGCAGCGTGGCCATCTCCCCTGGGGGGTGCTTTCTCACTTTCTGTCTCTCTGTTTCTGTCTGGCGAGCGCTCGCGCCCTATAGCAAAAACCTCTCCAAAAAAAGAGACAGCTATGCAACCCAGCTGTGCAACCTGGCACCAATGCCCTGGGGGGCTCTGTCAGGACACAGGGGTTCCCCGTACCTTTGCAGAATCAAAACTCGACAAGGGTCTCTTCTTTCTGCTTGCCTGCTTACTTTGCTATCAGGGTTAGATCAGCTTCCTAAAAGTAGTTGCCCATCTAATTCTCATTGCTTTGCTTACAAAGTATGTGTGCCTTGAAGTAACACATAAAACCATCAGAACCCAGAGCCTTTTTCAGTGAGTTACCAAATAAAATCACCCCAGCGATTTCTTTTTTCCTAAAAGCGCTTTTACGAGATGTTTGATGGCTGCTTTTCCTAAACTAACAGGCTGTATTTCCAACTCACACTTTTCTTCCTACCTTCCAGGAGGGTGTGCTTCGGTTGTTTCCACAACTGTAAAACCGAAAGGGCTTGAAGCTCTTATCTGAGGACCCCCAAGTAGGCCCACGCCAGTACACTGGGGCCATACCTACCTGCTCTGCTGTAAACTTGGCTCCAGGAAGCTCACGTTAGAAAACACATCCTTGCACGGAGCGGGTCTTTCTTCATTCCAATACGCTGGCCCTGGGGCCTCCTAACTCGGGTGGGCTGCCTTGTCTCACCTCCCCTTCAGTTCTGGGAGGTCAGGTCTCAAAGCCGCCCTCTACCTGCCAGGCCTCCCACCTGTTCAGTGACCCCAACTCCTCCAGCTAGACTGCTGATCCTCAAGGCCCCCCGCTGAAGGCAAACCTGTGACAGTGATCTGGGATGCTCATGGCCGGGTTGGCCTCTGTTCCCGACAGGACAGACAGCGACCAGACCATAGGCTCCGTGTGCTGATCCAACATGTGTTTAACGAGCGCCAATACTAGGAACGCGAAGCTGGCCGAGCCAGAGCCCTGCCCTAGAGGCGCACGTCTGCCCAGGAGACACATCATTGCACTTTTTTATTTGTTTTCTTTCTTTCTTTTTTTGGAGAGGTTTTTGTTATAGGGCGCATGCACTCGCCAGAAAGACAAAGAGACAGACAGAAAGTGAGAAATCACTCCCCAGGGGGGATGGCCACGCTGCAATCCCTTCTCCTCCATTCTCCTCTTGAGATTCTGGGCGCGCACACATACACACACGCACCTGGCGTTGAGTTTAAGCCACCGGGTCCGGGACTCGAACTGCGATCGACTACATGGGAGTCCAGTGACATAGCCATTACGCCAACTGCTGGTTCCAACTTTTTTGTTTGTTTTCTGTCTGTTTTGAAAGACAGGGTCTCACTGCTGCCCAGGCGGGCCCCGATCTCACATCCTCTTTGCCACGCCTCCTGAGTAGCTGGGATCAGAGTAGCTGGCATCTACACCAGCCCTGGCTCATGTCGAAGCCGCGGTTGTGCCGTGCTACATCTGGGATGCGGGAGGGTACACGGGAGAGGCAGGGCTGCAAATACAGACATAAAACCTGTGCCCCCAGAACAGCCTCCGAAAGGATCGGGTGTGAGCAGAACGTCACTACGCAGACGGGGACGTTGTTGAGCCCAGCGAAAGGCTGTCAGGCCATCTTCCTAACCCCAAACCTCCCAGCAGGCCAGGCCACCGGGCAACCTGCAGAGAAGCTTCATTCTCAGCCATGGTACCGTCCCACTCAGTTGGAAGGGTGAGTGTGGCTGCTTCCTCCAGGCAGCCCTCCTCGTGTTGGAGCAGAGGGAAGAGGCTGCAGGAAGCAGAGGGCATGAGCAGAGGCCAATGTTTAACAGGGTAGGGGAACCCCAAACAAGTGTACCTCCTCACTCAGCTATGGAGTCATCTGGGGGCGCCACTCTGTCCCGACTCAGGGCTATGGGAGGCCACTTCACTGTGGCCCCTTCACGGGGCATTGCTGCACCTGCCTGGGCCACGTTTGGGACCCAGAGATGTAGGGTGGAGAACGGTGGCTCTCCTGGGGCCTCCAGGGCATCTGCCACCTGTTATGGGATACCTAAGGACACTTCTGGGTCTCCCTCTGTCCCAGAACTCTCTCTTTTTTGGCGGGTTCTGGACCCCCTGAGCGAGCTGGCTCTGGTTTGGGAACAGGAAGGTTAACAGATTCTGAAAGTCTGGGGACAGGTTTGGGGGCTGCCTCCTCTGGCTGGGAGGAAGCTGGTCCTACAGGCCCAGGATGGGGTCCATGCAGAAATAGGTTGGGCAGGGGGTTTCTGGGGCCCAGGGGCACGCTCCTCAGCCGGCTATGGCTCCGGCTGAGAATTTCTGGATATGGATTTGGACTCAGAAATAGCAGGGATGGCTGCAGCAGCTGGGGCAGGCCTGGGGGCAGTGCCATGTTCAGGGCCAGGGCCTCGGCGAACCCGGCTAGGTACTGCCTCACCACGGGCAGCTGTGGGGCCACCGGCGGCTGGCTCAAGGCAGAGGGCAGGGGCAAAGCACAGCACAGTGGCACTCAGCAAAATTGGTAAGGTCCTGAATAACTTTCTCGAGATCCTGGCAGAAGAGCTCATCATCACCGGGCAGGGCCAGGTCCCCATCCAGGTAGGGGCTGCCTGTGGCCGGGCTGGCCCGTCAGGCACCCAAGGAGCTCAGACATGGCTGAGGTTATCCCGGTAATACTCAAAGCAGAAAGACATGTAATCACCCAGCTGGGCCAAAAGGCGGTCCAATAGCTATGGGGAGCGGTCGAAGGTGCCTAGGTCCGAGCCCGGCACCCAGCGGAAGTCCGCCCTGAGGGGTCAGGAGCCAGGCATGCACCTGGCCAGGGGACCTTTTCCATGGGCTCCCTGCCCTGCAGTGCCATTAGTCACACTCTTCTGCTCCGTGTGTACACACGGGGTCCCCACAGCAGGGCCGCTCAATCCAGGGATCCACCGGGGAGTGTGTGCCACCCGGGGAGAGGCCCGGTCCACCAGCTGCCATGGTGTGCGTTGGTGTAATTGGTTGCCACCCGGATGGGATGGCGAGAGCCGCCCCGCCACTGCCGGCCACGAGGCACGCTGGGAGGGGAGGGGAGAAGGGAGTAAGAGCTGGCACAGTGGTGGGGGGTGGATGCACCGCACGCACGGTGGGACAGGCTGGGACAGGCTGGGACAGGAGCTGGCCAGACAGGGCGTGGAGACTCAGAGTCTGGACAAGTGCTGAGGGCCAGGGGGGCTGCCAGCTGTGGCCCAGGAGAGCTGAGAAGAGCAGGAGGACTGTCAGCTGCAGGCCACTGTCCAAGGCAACCTGTCCAGAAACAAGGCGGGGAAGGGCAGGAGCTAGCCGCAGGCACCGCCAGGCTGGCGCCGGGAGGCCGCAAGCAGACACCTAACTAGGAGCTCCGGGTGGGGAAGGAGGACCCGGGGGCTGGCCTGCGAGGTCCGAAGAGGTGGGCAGAAGCCACCTATGACATGTCCAAGGCATGGTATAATGACAGATGCTTCGAGCCCAGAAGAACACGGGCCACATCGGAACCATCCCGAACTTCAGGACCATGACGGCAGCAACCAGCCCCTGAATGTTCGCCTCACACAAAACACTGGCCCCGGCATGAGCTGGGTATTACCATGAAGTCTCGGAGAGGCGAAGGAACCCATCTGTCGCCACGCACCAACCCAGAAGTGGCGGAGGCAGCAGGGCCAGGCTCAAGAGACCACGGGCCTGAGCTATGCATCACGCAGGTTACAGGTTACACTCCCCTGTGTACCGGGTGGGGTCCTGGCCGCCCCCAGCCCTATAAACAATGTCCTGAGGTTCCCTTCCACCCCAGCACCAGGCAAGTGGCCCCTGGCCACTATCTGTCCCTCCCTGTCCCCTCCCTATACTTTCCAAACACCTCTCCCCACTGAGCGCCACTCCCCCTGCGATGCCATCCCCACCGCAAAGCCGCCTCCCTACCTTCCCCACCCGTCGACAGGCCAGCATTCTAAGCCCCAAATGTCACATCCTGAATCCCACTTACTGTTTCAGCTCCCCTCACTCCAGGGACTCCAGGGCCTCCTGCCACCAACATAGACAGCCTCCCCCGCGGATGGCTGGACACGGCTCCCCACACAGCACCAATGAGTCTGGAACCAACGGCAACCACGGTCTCCTTCCACTGCAGAAGCCCTTCTCTGGGGCTCTCACACCCTGCCCAGACTGACTACAGCCCCTCCCCAGCCTCCTGCAAAGGGAAACCCACTCAGGTCTTCCATGCGTCACCCCTGCACACGTCACCCCTGCACACATAACCTGCCCTCCATCAGCCCACACCCGGGAGCGCCACCGTCTACACACGCCTCCCACCCACTTTCTTGCATGCTACCCCACCCACCAGTGCACTTCTCCCGAGAGGGTCTTCACATTCGTCTTCCTGCCCAGGACCTCCCAGGGTGGCCTGCCACACTCGAAAATGCCAGGGCCACCAGCGGCCACCTCTGCCACCCAAGCATTCCAAAAACCTTCACGTCTGTCATCCATTCTGGGGGTCTTCTGAAAGCCCAGCCCTTGACTCAGGAGAATCCCAACCTACTGCAAAGAAAGAACCTGCTAGCAAAATACCCCAGGAGCTCAATGGATTGAAGAGTCTAGTTCAGTTCCTCACTGAGCTCTAAAAAACAGGACCCACGACCCTAGCCCCAGCTCCGACCACCAACCCAAGGTGAAGTGCCAGGCTGCCCACAATGACCACCTCCTGTGTGCCACTCAGATCCCTGCCTTTCCTTCTTCCCAGTCTCGACTTCCACCCGATTCAGAACCGTGGTTGTCATCCTGCCACCCTGTCACCTGCACACCTGTGAGCCCCTGCAGCTCCCCTGGCCCACCCACCATTCCCACTTCAGAATGATCCTTTCCAAGCCTAAACCTTCCTAAACATGGGCCAGACTCACCACTCTGAGAACCTCGGCCCTCCCAGGCCTATGGAACTGTCTGTCGGTCTCTCCCCACCCTGCCTGGTACTGGGGAATTTCAGCCCTTCTCCTGGGCTGGACAGCGCTCCACCGAAGCTGCAGGTAACGGGGCGCGTGCGTATTTGCCTCTGCAAAGCCCGAGGTAGCACCTGAACCCCTAGAGCTTTTCTCTGTTCCGAGGAGACAGATCCGGGGCCCCAAGAATTTCAAGAACCTGCCCAAAGCCTCCAAGCAAGCTGAAGGCAGACGACTGCACTGCCCGCCCCCCACCAACCGCCATGCACAAAACACGAGCTCGCGCGCCCCAAGGCAATAAAAAGTCCACCTACCTGCAGCTCTGGGAGACGCCCGCCGAGAGGGTCCAGGAATTCGCAGCCAGAGACCGTGTGGACTGGCCTTCCTCCGAGGACCAGGCTCCAAGCGCCACCTAGAAAGTGGAGAATAAGGTCGGTCGCCGTGAGGATAGGCAGGGTGCAGGTGCGACCTCCCGAGACAGCAGGAACGGCCCACAAGCCCCCAGGTGCCCCTGATCCCCTGCGCGGACCGAGAAACCAAGGCTCGCCGGCCGAAGGGCGCCTGGACCCAGGCCGGTGCTCCTGCACTGACGGGGAGTCGGGAAGGGACGCAGGGCGCGGCTCGGGACCTGCGCACACTGGGGTGTGCCACCGCCGGCGGCCCGGACTCCCGCGGCCACACTGACCCGCTCGCTGAAGTCGCGCTCCGCCCACCGCGCCTGCGCTAATGCGCCGTGGGGCCTCGGCCGCGCAAGCGCTCCTGGGTCCTGCCGCCGCAGCCCCGCGGCGCGGAGGGTGATGGGAGCGCGCGCCCAGCCTCGCGCCGCGCTAAGGGCCATGAGAGCAGAAGGGGCCGCGTGCGCAGGCGCGGGGCAGGGGCCCTCCTCGCAGTCATCGTGGTGCAGTGAATCCTCAGGGCGCGGAGTGTGGCGACCAGGCGTCGCGACGGCCATTCAGCGCCCAGCCGGCGGCTGCAGAGCGCTAGGGGTCTGTGCCACTCCTGGCCGCGGATACTGCCCTCGAGTCGGCCGGACACGAGCATCCGGAGGAGGAGGGTTGCAACGGGGCCAGGGCATCTGGGAGGTCTGGGCATGTGGACGAACGGGCCTCGTGAACGCGTCCCTGGAGAGGCGTGGCCGCAGAGTGTCAGTGGCAGAGCCCGGGGGAGGACCCGGGTCTACATACCCAGCTTAGGCCGGCCGCGTGGACCCTCCACCTGCGTGCTAAGGGGCTGCAGGTGCGGCCCGCGGGCTCGCTCGCCCTGGGAGGGTGGCTGCGGAGGGTTGGATCCGGAGACAGCACGCTGCCAAGGCTTCTCCCTAGGGTCACGCCCAGCCCCAAGCCTGCTCCCAGTACAGGCGTGCCCAGTCAGCACCCAAAGGAAAGCCAGGTGACGATGGTGGCGGGGAGGTGTACCCCTCACGTGCACGGCCCATGCACCACCCCGTATCCTCATGGTGTCTGGACCAGAGGTGGGGGAGGGTGCCGGCTCCAGTCCAGGACCTGGAGGTCCCCGCCAAGGGCCAAGGACCTGGAGGCCGGCCAGGAGTCCTTGGATCCCTGGGCAGCCGGATTCACTGGAAAGGGGACGCTCCTCAAGGTGAACACACACGTCACACGCCAGCTCCCTTTCTGCCCTGGTCTAGCGACTCTTTTCATGACAGCTCTCTGAAATGTTATCTGCATTTACACCCAGGCCGGCTCACTTTGATCCTTGGAACGCGAATCAAAGATGACATTGTACCTTCCCTGAGTCTGGGGGGCTTTCTGCCGCCAGGGCCAAGAATAATACCAGTGGCATCCAGCCAGGAAACGCCTCCTTAAAGTGTGAATGAAACTTGGATTTTTCGTTTGTATCTTTCCCAATTGACCTGATAATTTAAACTTCCTCCCTCAAGGGGGGGTGGGGGGTTCCCGCAAATTCCACTTACCTCCAGTTCAGGATGGGTCAGCAGGGACCAGGCAGCAGGCTTGTGCAAAACCCTAATCCATCTGGGTCAGAAAAAGCCAAAAAGAGTCTCAGGACCAGCAGTTAGCGTAATGGCTATGTCGCTGGACTCCCATGTAGTCGACTGTGGTTTGA